GGGGGGGGAAGGGGTCAGTGGCTCACAATTCAACCCTGCTCTCATTAAGTAATGTCTCCCCACTCCTCACCTTTGTGAAGCACTGCATTGGCTGGTTTGTTCCCAGCCATAGATTCCTTGGATAGATGTTGGTGGCTCTCAGCTAGGCACTCCACTTCAGCAAAACGGGTATTAAGAGCCATAGAGGGATGGGATGGATCTTCTGACATGTTTAGATATGCAGCTCTCCGTAGTTGCTCCTCAATCACTAGAGCTTGTTCCAGCAACTGTAAAAAGAGATTTTGGCACTCAGTTTTCTGAACAGGATCTATGCATATTGCTTGTAACTCCTATGTTACATTCAATTTATAAAATCTTGTGAGACCTACGTGCAGTTGTTCTAAACAAATATTCAAAACCCTCTTAACAAGATACCACAAAGTCTTAATTGCAAGACCATGTGGAATGAATGCAAAGCTAATTCTTTGTCCTGCTGCCCCAAAGTGACCTGGATCAAGATCATAAACAAAATCACTCCATTCATTAAAATAACAGCATAGATCAGTAATAAATACATATGGACAACTCTCTCTACTAGTAATACAAATTGTTGCAACTAAGGCTTCTACTCTTGCTAACCAAGTCAAAATGTTAGAACAGATCCATTCCTATGACAATTGCAACTTGACAGAATATTTTGAAGGACAGAACACATAGTATTACTTAAAAACCCTGAAGTTCTTTGTATTGTGAGCTGAATTAATGTGCTATTAGGCTTCACAACATAGGCCACAACATTCTTATAGCCAGGGACATTTTTCTTTTTCTTTTTAAAACTGTCTTCGCTGCACCTAAAATGGGAAGAAATGACCTCAGTTTTTAGGAGTTATGGCAGCTTTAAGGGGCAAAAAGGGTGCCTTAAATCAAGTCAGGAGGCATTCATTTTGCCTTTAAAGCCTACCCTTATCCTTCAAACAAAAAAAGGAAGGATGCTTTCACCTCATCCATCCCATTCTCAATTCAAAAAAATCTAAAAAAGAAAAAAAAGCTGATTTGTCTTTGAAGAAAACCTAACCTGTTAGTTTGCCATATTTATAAAGAGACTATATCCCCCCCAAAAGTGCTCACCTTAAACCTTCTGGCCAAGAATTTGTTCTTTATCTCTAGAAAGTTACCCCTGTTCATTTCACCCTTGAAAGGTTCGTTGAGGATGGCGTAACGGGGATCATTCTGGATATCTTGCCACCGAGCATAACCATGACTGTAATTGGAAAAGCTCAGAAAAAAAAATAACCTGGAAAATGCAGTGTACCAGCAGCAATTAGAGTTTATCTGAATTAGTGAGTAGTGAGACTGGGCCTCAACTCAGGCAATGTAGTAGGATACCAATTTTTTATGAAAGAAAATAACCTTCAAACATATGACCTCTGCACAGACCTTTTTTTCAAAGATGCAAGTCATATACTGAAACTTGAAACAAGGCCCATAGCCTCATATCCACAGGGAACACTTTCAGGCAAATCCCTTTCTCTGGCTACTCTCAGTCAGCTTTCCTCATCTTATTACTTAAGCTGCCAAACCACTGCTGCAAAATGTGGTAGAGCAGAGCCTCCCTGCAAAAACAGATCTATCTGATCCTAATAAGGAATAGAATATGCTGGACCACAGAACAGAAAAAAGCCCCAATAGTTGGTGAGAACAGCAGCAATTGTGGTATGGAGTAAAGTAGGAAATATGAAAACGCACCAGAAGCTAACAAGCAAAAGGCTTGTATGTTTATATTATAAACAGAATGCATCCAAATACAATATAAACGTACTGACTGCAGCATGCAATCTATTCTTGTTAGAGAGATGAATGCAAATACCAGACTAGTTTTAACCCCAAGAATCATACTGTTTTGCCCTAGCTAAGTCAAATTCTCAATCAAATCTATCATAGCTTCTAGAGGAAGGATACTTTATAATGCCTGCCAAGAGCCAGTAGTCATGGCGCCGGTGCCAGATCTCATATGTCTTCTTGGTAACAGTAGCTGCTCGCTCTTCATTTTGCCACAAGGAATGCAACTCTGTGAGAAATTAAAAGATCACAAAGTGTTTCATAACCGAGTAGAAAAAAACTCCCAGAAAACAGCTACCCTCTTTTGTCAGTTAGTACCAGTGAAGCCTCCATCTGCAATGTTGAACATGAACCGTTGTTTCATGGCTTTCTTATGCCGATCGTCAGCAGGATCTTTAAGGGTTTCCCCATTTTGCAGCATCACTATATCTTTCTTTTCATCTTCCTTCTTCTCTTCTGAAAAGAGAACAAATAATTAATCAGACCATAACCACCAGTGACTCCATCTTAATATTCCAAACATACCCTAGCCTCTGCCTAGAAAACTTATTTTATGGGGTGCATTAAATATGCAAGAAATAACACTTTTACCTTTCTCATCTAGATTAATTGTGGGAGGTTCAGGAGGTGGCTCTGCAGGTGTCTTCTCTTCCACTTTCTCTGTATCAGCTGTAGAGGAAAACATTTGTATAACTGGGTGTCTTGACTACTGCTCACAAGACTGTTCAGCCTCAGTCCAGGTTAATCTTGTTAGCTTTACAAGCTTCCATTTACACCAAGAACTCCCATGCTCTGCAGTTTCATTCATCTCTGGAGTATGACACTTATCTAGGAACTACAGCCCTACCTTTACTTTCTGTTTCCATTGGCTCCTCTTTCACTTCCAGGTCATCTGGTTTCTTCTCTTCAGCTTCTACAGTATTTACAGGAGATTTAACCTCTTGTGAGTGGGTCTCTGTTGAAGGGGGGGTCTGCTATATAGGTGTAGGGTAAGCAAAATATTCAGTCAATAAAAGTTTAAGAAAGAAAAACCAGTCTCCATTAACAAATTTCACAGCCTGTCTAGTAACAGTTCTTAATATTTTAAATTATTAATTGCATACAATAAAGAACACCTGTGTATTTTGCTATTCTAACAGGGTTCTGCAAAGCTTTGGATTCAAACCCAGAAAATTGCTTCAGAGCATGCAGGGGCACTTGTAGCAGTTCTCTCCTTAAATCAAACAAGCCTTTCCCCAGATCGTGCTGCAGCTGCAAAGGACAGCTGTGCAACCCTAGGTAAAGATGCACTTTTTCATCTTCAAAGATGGAGAGATTATAACCAAACTGAGCAGTACGTAAAAAAGAATTTTTAATAGCAACAGAACATTAGAAGAAATTTGATTTTTAATGATACTAAATAAAACCCTGGCAGACATTCACCTCAACTGGAACTTCATTTTCAGCAGCAGCAGCAACTGCAGGACTGATCTCCTTCTCAGGTTCTGTGGGCTCCACTTGATCCTTGGTAGTGGTTCCATCTTCTACCTTCACTCCCTCCTCTATAATCAGCACAAGCCAAGAAGCTTTTCAGAAGTCGTTTCTCTCATAAGAGACTGATGTTTCTCTATACCTGACCTCTATAGTCACCCAACCTCTGAAATAACTATTCTGATACAAATATTCCATCTGGATGTTCTCTTGTGCCTTTGAGGGCAGCTTAGCACTTGAAGAAACCCTCCTAATATAAGAGTGTTTTATCTATGTCCGCCCCAAGCTCTCTACCACAGTTTTGGCAGGAGGAGCAGAAATTGAGGGCAGGACTGCTTTTCATAAAGGCATTAACTCAAGAATCTCACCCAGAGGAGGAACAGGTGCAGGAGTATTAGGCTGAGTATCCCCTGGTGTAGAAGGAGTTGGAGTTTTGGGGGAAGGTGAATTTGGCTGCAAAAGCTTTTTGTTCTCCTCTATCTCTGCAAGTTCTGGCATACTCCAGCGTCCATTCACATGTTCAAATTCTTGTACCTTAGGTGGAAAAAAATAAGAGATATATTACTCTTTTCAAAATCAAAACAAATGAAGAGAATCAGTATCTAAGATTCTGAACTCCAATGAGTACAGAAGCAAAAAGATCCACCAATCAGCGTATCACATATATACGAAGGATTAGAAGATTTTAGAAGATTTTCTTGTATCTGTAAGACAGATGGAAAATGCATTTTAGAGCTCACCTTCTTACGTATGAGAGACATGACCCCTATCCGTGTGAGAACATGTTGTCGGGACAAACCCTCACGTGGGACCCCATCAGCAAATGTTTCTGCACCATCTGCTCCTGGTTCACACAAGTGACGCATGAAGAGAGAGACATAGGCCCTGCCAAATGCAAAGGGGAGAAACCTTTATACTAACAATCACTCGGTAACAGCACCACTATTACATCAGAATTATTCCCCAGGAACAGCCAAAGAAATTAATATGCAAATGCTTGAGCAGCAGGCTCCATTATTCTACCTACATCAGCTTGGCTCCTATGTATACCCATTAGGCACTACTTGTCAAATTCTAGTATTGCTCTTCCCTATCACTATGGGAGTACAATGTTGACATCATTGCATTTCCTTTCCCCTGAGCTTTTAAAAGAGATTTCTCCATTCTTGCACAAACTCACTTGAACTCCTTTTCTGACTTGCCACGGAGATCCCGGACCAGCCACTGGGTAGTAAAGGCATCCTGAGGTGGCATCCCATAGCGCATGATGGCATTAAGGAAGGCTTTCCGCTGCCGAGCATTAAAGCCCAATACCTGACACAGGAAGTAGATTCAGGGGAAAAAAGATTTAGATGCAATGGTAACATGTTTGCATGTTCAAGCATCCCATGTAGGATTATATTACTAGTATTATTCTTAGAAGATTTTAGCACCATCTTTTTAAAATAAAATTCTCACAGTTACATACATTACCTCTATGTTTCCTCCCACACGGGCAAGGAGCGGAGGTAATGGCTTGTCTTTGTCATTCCTTAGGCCTTTGCGACTAGGTCGCCGTGCAGCTGACAAAACAAAGGATAGTTCGGTAACAGCAGAGTTTAAGACATGGGACTAGAGCGTGATACATTTAGAGCTTGGAAAGTATATGAAGAATTTATGTCCTATTTAATGCTTTAATTCAATTTATACCCTGCTTTTCTTCCAAGGAAGGGAGCATACAGCATATTCCCCTGGTCCCATTTTTTTATCTTCACCCTCAGATATTTTAGGCCAAAGTATAGTAAATGATCCAGTGAGTTTCAGGACTGAGAAAATGTATATCTCCATTCCTAACCTCCCCAAACATCTACATTAAACCAGCTGCTGGGATTTTAGCCATTATACTGTTTTCTCAAATTCAAAGAAAGCAGTGCATGAAGCTGCGTCAGAATTTACCTTCAGACCTCTCATCAAAATCTTCATCACCTTCCTCAGAGGCCACAGAATAATCAGACTGATTATCTGATTGGTCATCCTGCCAGTCTGGGGAAAATAAAAAGGCCATGTGAATTCCCTGAAAAAGACTAGCCCCAAACTCTAATATTCACTCTCACTTGTTCATCACACACCTCTATCTTCTTGTGAACCATCATTGTAGTTGACCTGCTTACGAATACGCTTGCCCTTGCCTAGATTCCTAGCCAAGTCTTCCTGCTGCTGCTCATAATGATGGCGAAGCAGTTTTTCCCAATAGTCTGGATCCACTGACTCTTCTTGCTTGATAATCTCGCGTTCAACTTCTTCCTCCTCCTACCACAACAACATCAGAAGGTAACAACAGCCCAATATTATCCATGTTTATAAGAGAAGCAAGTCTCACTGTTTTCAGTATTTCCTACTGAATCTAAGTTTTTAGGTTTTTAATTGCCAACTTAATGTGCACCTTTTATCAAGAAGCGCTTTGGAAAAAAATAAGGTGACAGCCAATCAATTGACACTTACCCCCATTTCTTCTTCACGCACCACATACTGGGCTACTTTGAAAGAACTCAAGTACTCATTCATGCCCTGAAGTTCTGCATCCTCTGTCTCATCCTGGTTCCTATCCAGAAGTCGTTCAATTGCCTTATCATCATAATGGATGACACTGCTGTCCTCACCTTCCTTGTTATCCCCTGGAAGAAGAACCATTCAGTAGATGAGAAAGGACAAAATATAACTGCAGCTAAAGGCAAGTAAATCACTCACTTTGTGTTACACTACAAGATTCTTACCACCCTCAGTAGCTTCATCTTTGAAAAGCTCTTCAGTACCAAATTTAAGGATGTCATCCAGTTCTTGTTTGGACATAGAACCAGTCTTGGAGCCCAATCCTGGTCTTACTACGAGATGTGTTAGCATCATTTTCTTCTTGGCCACTTGTGTGATTCGCTCTTCTACAGAGGCTCGTGTGACAAAGCGATAAATCATCACCTTCTTGTTTTGCCCAATTCGGTGAGCACGACTAAAGGCCTGACAGAAAAAAAAGGGAGACCAAAAAAAGCTTTCAGAAATTCATTAAATCAGCTTGTGTTCCCACAAACCATGTTTTCATCCATTTCATCCAGCATTCTCCCTAAATGCATTGTTTTCCAAGATATAATCTTGGAAATTTTTGTCTTACTATTCAAATTCACCTGGATGTCATTGTGTGGATTCCAGTCAGAGTCATAGATTATTACTGTGTCTGCAGTGGCAAGGTTAATGCCAAGGCCTCCAGCTCTGGTGGAAAGTAAAAAACAAAACTGTGGGGCGCCAGGAGCTAGAAAGAGGAGATGAGAGATCATCAGTTTTCAAGTGTTTGGAATATCCATTTCACCCTTAGAGCTTGTTTAACCAGTCCTGGACTAACTTTAGAGACATTAGCTGGTGGACGGGAGGAAGATGCAAGGGAAAGAGTCCCAGCTCCTGCCAAGATAAGTAAATTTGTTGGGCGAGGCATCATATTCATACCATTGAAGCGATCGATAGCTTCCTGACGCATATTTCCTGTAATCCCACCATCAATTCTCTCATATTTGTACCCTTCATGTTCCAGAAAGTCTTCCAATAGATCCAACATCTTAGTCATCTAAAAAGCACAAAGAAATAAACTGTATCAGCACAAAACATACTGCTAACCCATACCCAAGTGAACAGCTTCTGTGACATGTAACTACTCCTAATCAGAGGAAGATACTGTTCCTTTCAGTTACCTGGGAGAATATCAGTACCCTGTGGCCCCCTTCCTTGAGATTCTTCAACATCTTCTGAAGCAGAAGCAGCTTCCCAGAAGCTCGGATTAGGGCACTACCATCATACATCCCATTAGGCATCTTTGGTGCTTCCTGAAAGAGAGGGAGGGAGGGAAATTATAAGCTGTTCCTCAAGTTTCTTGGTTTTGGTCAGGTTTATTACAAATAGCTTATAGCTGAACTTAGTATATATTTTCTTTATTAATCATTTCACTCCACTAATCCTTATTACTTTGTGGTCCTTACTACTTTTGCAGCTGCCATACTCATGTACTCTTACCTGAAGAAAGACCCTCAACTGCTGTATCCAAGAGTAAGCATAGCAAGGAGATCTGTCTATGTGGTTGCTGAGAGTCAACACTGAGTTGATGGCATATAATCAACCAATCAATTTTAAAATGTGAAATTCTGAGCCAATTCACATGGTACTATAAAACCTTAACAGTCCATTGGAGAAAAAAAGTTTTATGTTAAATCCAAATCAATGTTAATCAATGTTAAACTTTGGGTCAATTATTAAGTGAGGCCTATTAAATTGGAATCTGAGGTGCTTGTCAAACAGCTTTTCTCCAGTACCTGAAAGATACAATTGGTTATGGTATCTGCAATCAAGCACCTCAATACCCAAACTACCAACAAAAAATAATGGAAGGGTATGGATTTTCAATCGAGATTGTGAAGGAGCTAGAACCTACCATGGCAGCCACAGGGAAGAGATATGGATGGTTGCAGCATTTCTTCAAATCCATAACAACATTGAGCAGAGAAACTTGGTTGCCGCCACCCCGTGCATTCAGTGCCTCAAAATTTCTTGTTAGGATATATTTGTAGTACTTCCTGTAAAAATGTTAACATTCACATTGTTGGCTTCTTTTCATATGTCTCGCCTTATAAATTAAGCACCTACCTTAGGAATACCTTTTAAAATACATTTTCCTCTACCTCCCACCCTCCACCCCTTAACTGTAGTAAGAGGAAACAGACCAGCAACAGGAAACTGGCAAAAAAAGAAAAGAGTAATTCTAAATCAGCATCCTAAGGCAAAAAAGTTAGGAAGGATACTTAATTGTTACAATTTCAGGAAAAAAAAGAGAAGCCAACTATCCTCTGACACTCACTTTTGCATAGGACTTAGTTCCACTCTCACAATAAGTTCTGTCTTTGAGGGCATGTTCTTGAATACATCAGCTTTCAGACGCCTCAGCATGTGCGGTCCTAACATATCATGAAGCTTTTTGATCTGATCCTCCTTGGCAATGTCTGCAAATTCTTCCAGGAAGCCTTCCAAATTACTATGAAGGAATTCAAACAGAAACATGGAAATTCAGAGAAACGTGGAAATAAGAAGAAATCCAGGAACTTCAAGCTAAGAGGAAAATGTGCTTGAGGATACATTGTAGGACTTACTGAAATCTTTCTGGTGTCAAGAAGTTAAGGAGGTGGAACAGTTCCTCGAGATTGTTCTGAAGAGGGGTTCCTGTGAGCAGCAGTTTGTGCTGAAGAGAATAGCCATTCAGGACCCGGAAAAACTGAAGTTGCATAAAGAAGGAAAAGAGCTATTTAGCACCATTTGGTTAATTATGGCACATTTTCAAATATGTATAACTGTATCCAGAAGATAAAAATAAGTTCTGTTCTCCAAGAAATTCTTCAGAAAATGTATAAAACTGCAACAGTTAAATAACATTTTAAGGAATTAATTCCAACCTGAATCACAGAAAACTGTTCCTAACATGATAGAAAATTACATGCCGCTAAAAAAAATGGGACTCCAAAGAATATATTTTTAAAATGTTGATAAATATTATTACTGGTATAATTATTTCTCCTGCAAAGTATTAATAATAGTGCATAAAACTAAGGAGAACTGAAATAATATACTGATCTATTAGGAATAGTAAGCGTAGCTTTCTACATCTAAAATGGGCATGTATATGCAGATACATAGCACAAGAAGACTGCAGGTGGCAAGAATCTCCTGAAAAACTTCTTTAAATGACAATTTAGGAGAAAAATGGCAAAATGCCCATTCTAAGAAAGTTCTTGTAATTTTAGATATAAAGCATAAGAATTACAGGAGACACAGATATGAAGCAATCTATCCCTACCTTGGACTGATTATTCTTTAGTCTGTGTGCTTCATCCACTACAAGGCAAGCCCAGTCAATAGAGCCCAGAATAGCCATATCAATAGTGATCAACTCATAAGAAGTAAGCAATACATGGAATTTCACAGATGCCTCTTTCTGTAAGGATCAGAAATATTTATTGGTTAAAAAAAAAAAAAGAATAGCGAAACTAGGTGCAGACTCACAAGATAACAACTTTCCAGTATTCAACATCAGTGGAAACTCTAAGTCACTAGGGAACCTGAAATATTCTCAGGTAAAATCTTAGTTAAATTAGTTGCCAAAATACCTTCATCCTAGAAGCCTTTTTCCCCCCACGTATAGCATTGTCTTCAAAGGAAAATTCATTCTCTCGGATGATGGCCCGGCTGTCTTTGTCCCCAACGTAAGTCACGACGTACATATCAGGGGCCCACATTTCAAATTCTCTTTCCCAGTTGATGATGGTGGACAATGGAGCACTCACCAAGAAAGGTCCTTTGGAATGGCCCTGTAGTCAGATAAACTCTTGATATAAAGGTAACAGGAAACAAATTTTTAGAATGTTGCGTATGAATTTTACAAGGAATGCTGCAATCTTACCTCTTTGTAAAGAGAGTACAGAAACACTGCTGTCTGCACAGTTTTCCCTAGACCCATTTCATCAGCCAGGATAGTATCCGTGCCTTGAGCCCAAGAGAAACGCAGCCAGTTCAGACCTTCCAGTTGATAAGGATGCAGGGTCCCTCCAGTTACATCTAAGTAATCTGGCTGTCTGTCATATTTCACTGTAGGCTGTAGAGAAGTTGGAGGGAAAATGAAAATATGTTTAATGTCCCAGCTCAAGCTCAATAAAACAAGCTTGCTTTTTGAAATTTGCCACCATAAACAGCTTCAGGACTTGAGTCAGTCTTAATAGTATTTAATACCTATTTTTTAAAATATCCTGTTTATTTTTAAAAAGGAACTCTGTAATAGAAAAAAAGCACCTTCCATCAAACAGGATTCCATGTATTTGTCATAATCCAGCTAGACATGCAAGATTATCCTATCGGTTTTGAAGAGCCTTAAGTATAGGTCCTATATGTGTACTATTCCATGTGCAATACGCTCATATCTTCAGGTAAAGCACTGTGTCTCCATAGGTGTGTAACTAATGAAATGGTGGTTAGTTGTTCTATTAGAATGCAAGTACAGGGTAACTGGCTACTTCCTTAAATGAAAGACAGTGAAAGTAGGTACAAGTCTCAAGTTTATTAAGAACAACAAAAGGAAATGGGGAAATTGGAAAAAAATTAGATGGTCTGATAATAATTTTGCTTCTGGCAAAGTGAAATTGTATCAAGTGGTAGAAGGTTATCAAGCCATTTTTAACAATACCTCAGGCAGAATTATTGCAGTATAACAGATATTAGCAAATGTTCTCCAATTACAAGGTAACCTTATAAAATGAATGGAAGAATTCTACAGTCCCTTAGGGGCCTCCAGGTGATTCATCCTTGTCAATCCATAGATATCACCTATTATGCTCATCCCTGAGCTTACTAATACGATTCTGTGTTTGATTACAGAACACACAATACAATTACATAGCCTAATGTCTATCCCATGACCAGAGTGGATACTCATGGAACTGCTGAGGTTAACAAAAATTATTTCAACTTTACCAAAACTATTTTATTAAATTTCTCCCCCACCCATCTCCCCCCAATCAGGGACTCTTTACAAAGATCCGAACAGAATAGTCATTCTGTAATAAAGCACAGAGTTATTTTATTGAAGTATCTCTTTAAAGAAAATCTATTATTAGGGTTCTGCTTCAGATTCAAAGACATAAAGGTACTTCAGAACAACATCCACAGCACCTGTCTGCAACCCCTTGGACCCAAGCAAAGCCATTTCTCAATATCATACTGCAGCTGCAGATGATAGTCAAATAACCTTGGGAAAGATGCAGTTACTTGGGTGCCAACAGGTGCTATGTTAGACACCTAACGCTTATCACTTCTGATAGCACTAAATTGCCACATAAGACAGAAATTATAAAAAGAATCATGATGATCAAAAGTTGTAACAGAAATGTTTCTCACTTCTGCTAAAAAAACAACAACCACCCACTAAAAATATTACCTCCCAAACTGAATATGGAAACTGTGTGACCACTAGGCTACACCAATCCATTAACTTACATCCACTGTGGGTGTTTCTGGTGGTCTCTCTAATTTTCGTAATTTCACTTTCTTTATTTTTTTTCCTGGTCTTCCTTCTTCACCTCTCATCAATTCCCTGTTCAGGAAGAGACCCACACAGGTTGAATTATAGCAAGTAGATAGAGAATAAAAGTAACAGAATTTCCTATTCATTCAGAAAGTAGGCTAGAGAAATTCCAGATAATCAAAGCTTCCTTAGTGGTATCAACCCAATAGGAACAGTAAACCAGTTTTCCCTTATAAATTTGCTGTTCAATTAAGTTCATATTCTCACCTGTGGTTCCAGTATGCCTGTTTGTAGATATCATAATCCTGTACCTCTGCCTCCTCATTTTCCCAAGAAGCTTGGTCATATGGTAGATCTCTCCATTTAATAAGATAATGAACATTCCCCTTCTTATCCACACTGGAAGAAAAGCAGAAGTCAATCATCATAATCTTCTAAATAAACCTAGTCCACAGAACCAGAACACTAAGCTCAATCTTTTTTTTCCTTCATGGAAATTCACCAATTAATGAATGGAAAAAGAGCAGGCATTCATTGATATCTGTCCCAAGTGCACATTCTTAAGATAGGAACACAATTTGACAGTTGTGCAAAGGCAGATTGATTTCCCACTAAAAGAATCAAGATCTCAGCAGTAACAGCTGCCAAGTAAACATCCAACACATTTTCATCCCTTTCTACCTTTCAGAGGCTACCTGAATAATTGAATGAACAGTGAATAAACTGAATAAAGAGTTTTGTTTTCCAGATATAGTCCATTATTTTCCTCACCTATGATTGAGAATTCGATGGATCATCATCCATTCTGGTTTAATCCCATATCGGTAAAACCGTTCTTCCATCTCTGCAAACTTGGGATCCTTGTTCTTGCGTTTGCGACTCTTTTCTTCCTCCCCCCCAAAGTCTCCTGAAGGTGGCTCGTCCATATCATTTTTACGTTGGTAATTGCGAAACATTACTTGGCAATGCAGTTCCAGCTGGGATACAAGCAGATTACACATCATTTGAACATGGCTAGCCAGTTTCCTTGCTCTGATCAGCTGAAAGACTGCTTTTACTTACCTGCAGCTCAGAAACCCAGGAACAGTGCCAATAGGACATCCCCTGCCACTTGACAAAGAACTGCCTCTCAGGTCTTCCCTCCAGAGGCTTAGGAGAAGGTGCGTTTGGATCTGCATCAGCAGGCCGTGGCACTGGAGTGGGTAAGGGAGGCTGTCCCCATTTCCATGTCAAGATTTTCTGCACTTTGCCTTTCAGAGGTGGGCACTAAAGGTGAGCAAAGGCATTAGAAATTGCTTGCTCTGGATCCTCTAGCATTTGCTAAAGCTTCCTGATACTTTCATTATATCAGTGTCAGAAGGGCAAGATAGACACATCTGTATTCTATCCCAAAAAGCTTTAAACTCCGTAGTATAAATGTATACTCCTTTTCAGGATTAATAGTAAAAAAAGAAGAAGAGTACAATGAGAACCAAAGAATTATACTTTAAAAATACATTAGGCATCTCCAATAATCCAAACAGCCGTCTAATACGTGGGTATAATAGACTGGCTGACAGATCCTTTTAACCTGTTTCAAGATGGACACTTCTTCATAATAACTTGTCTTGTACAGAATAGAAGCAGCATCCCAGTATTTGGAACATTAGAAATTGTCAAGTGGAGAGAAATCACAATAGATTATAACTAGTGAACTATTTTAGATAACAGAGAATAAGTAGTTCACGTGCACAAGCAGAAAATGTTTGAAAGTACATGTGAATGTTTTTTTTTTTTATGATGGTATGTTAAGCATCAATATGTATTCCATTCTGATACTATATGGTCCAGATATTTCTATAAACAACCAAATTCCTCATTAAGATTTCTTGATCTGATAAAACTGCATCAGCAAATGCACTAAGATTTCCTGCTAACATCTGAAAAATCTGGCCCTAACATCTATTTATTTTTATTATAGCTCCCTCCTTCACATGATCTAGTAGTTCCTACCTTGGATAGAACAATATTTCCTACTTAATTATCATCTGCTCACAAAGACATTCATGGCTCATTTTTATTACAAAATATAGAATGTCTACAATGAATTATCCAAAACCACAGTCACATACTTCTCTTTAGGAGTAAAAGATCAATAGGGCATCTTTTCACCTCATAAAGTCACTATTCCTACAACAATTAGCTTTACACTACATTTTACACTAGTTAAAAATCATTGTAAGAACTCACAGTACAGCGTGGGCAAAGCCACTCTCCGTTGGGGATTTCTGGCAAAGGGGGATTTAAACAGTGTATGTGATACGAAGAAGGACAGGCATCACAGCAGAGAAGCTCTCCACCATCTTTGCAGACACGACAGAACTCCATGTGGTGATCATCTTCTTCCTCTGCATCCCCCACAACATCCTCCATGGTTTCCTCACCCTCAGAGTTGTCTTCTTTGGCCTCCCACTGGATACCTTCTTTTTCCTAAAGGAGAGGCAAACTGTTAGTTCTGGGTGCTGTAAGTCCCAACAAGCAGAGCCTAACACTTCCTTCCCAGTCTTCTACAACCCAAACTCACACAATGGGGGCAGCTCCACTTGCCCTCTGGTGCTTTCTCCATATCTGGATCCAGACAAACCATGTGATAGGCACGAGGGCAAGTATCACACAGGATGATCTCTCCCCCCTGCTGGCACACCTCACAATAGTCCTGATGATCTGTCTCATAGCCGTCCACTGTTGCAGTCGAATCTTCTTCTCCTAATGGAGCCAAATAGTGTTCAAAGCATTAAAAAACTATGCAAGTAGTGAGGTTCTTTAAGCAAAAGAAAGATATTTCAGCCTTATGCCACAGAGAATTAGCTAGATAAAAAAATTTACAATTAAAAATTCAGATAACTAAAAGTTGCAGAGATGGCAGTTTGAATCCCACCAGTGAATTCCAACCGCTGGAACAACAAAACAGGTATTCTGTACACGAAGAGGATCCAACCAACAATTAAGATTTTCTTTGTGTTTCTTTGTGAAGTCCTTCTCAATAGGACTTCATTCCAGAATCTTTTATTTTGATTCTTTCTCTAGACTGACAGTGGCAAGTTCTTTTATGGATTTGAGGCACTTCTAGCCTCAAACACACAGACCCCTTCTATTCTTGAATCCTGTACTCCATGGAGCTCACTTTAATCAGAGTTCAGTACCTTTCTTTTTCCTCTTTCCCGCTTTTAATTTTTTACGGCTGCGGCTGCTGCGACTGGTAGAGCCATCTGACACAGAGTAGCTATTGATACTTGCATCATCAAAGTCTGATTCAACATCCAAGTCATCCTCCTCACTCTGAAGAAGAACGAATAGATTAGAGAGGTAGATGTAACAATAACCACCTCTTCCCAATATAACTCTCATGAATCCTGAAGGAAACTACTGCCTGCAGTAGCAGACTCTACTCTCTACACCCGAGTACCAGAAAGAAAGAGTAAAAAACTCACAGATGATCTTTTACGCTTGGAGCCAAATCCTCCGAGCTTGATTTTTAAAGGTGCCACCTTCTTGGTTTTGGGTTTTTTGATGTCAGGGACACGAGGACTAGCCTTGGGTTTTTTCCGGGCATTAGGGCCTAGAAGATATCACCACCCAATTAAATAGCACCCAATTAATTAAATCAACTATACTCGGTATTCTAAATATGATATGTAAGAAAATAAGAGTTGCCAGACACGTTGTAAAAAATTTTTTGAAATGTGTCCCAAGCAACTACTAACCACAGGGTAAAACTGAAAAAAAAGAAAAGAAAAGAAACCACTATAGCTACATTTTCCCCTCACCTTTGCCTTCTTTGGTCTTGGCCTTTCGAAGTGGCACTTCAACAGGGGGCTGAGGAAGAACTGCATCCACGTTAGCCACCATGCTCTCCACCACAGCCACAGCAGCCGCAGCAGCAGCTGCCACTGATGCTCCAGAACTCCCTTTGAAGGGATTGTTTGTGCTGAACTCTCTCCATTTGGCCCCCAGAACCATCATCATCTTTGAGACAGCAATTTTAGGATTCTTTGCAGCAATAAGTGGCCTGTGGGAAGGAGAAGAGAAAAGAGAGCACTGGTAAGTCACTCTGGACTGAATGGGACTTAAGCTCTATTCAACTTCAATAATCATATCATTCCCACTAAACAGGAAAGACAATTTTCTGTGTATTGTACCAGCCTAAGTTTTCTCCCCCAAATGTTACGAGGCCCTAACACAGTTAAAACAGAAAAACATAACTTTTTTTAGCGCTATTTTCTTTCTCTCTTCTATTGGCAATATTCAAAACAATTCCTAGGGTCCTCAACTTATCTATAATATTAAATCCTCAAACATAAGATATTGCAATAATATATGGAAAATATAACAGTATGTAAATTAACGGTATTGCTTATTATAGCTCAACAATATTAACTCACTTTGCAAATGAGGTACTGAGGCACAGATAGAGTAGCTGGCCTTTCTCTCTCTAGCAGTTTAACAACTATTTAGATTTCCAGTTCACAGTTCATGCCGTGTTAAAACTACTTAGTTATGCATAACTTAATGCACTATTACTGAGACATAAGGGACAAAACAGACCTGTACCTGACAAACTGGCTAAAAGCCTTGTAATTAGTTAGAGTGCGATAATCTTCTTCTGTGAAAACGTGATCAATATCTTCCATACCCCAGTCTTCTAAAAGCTGGGCAGAGGACTTAGGTTCCTGATTAAAAAAGGATGTAGAAGGTAGTGTTATCAGAAATTTATAGTCTCAACAAGAAAACTCTTTTCAGTCTTGAGAAAGCATTTGCCAGAGAAGTACAACATGTAAGAGATTTAGAAAACAAAGCAAAGGAAGAATACAAGACAGACACCAACTCTGCAAACTTCAGGAAGTAGAATAATAATCTTTTAATTGTAACTGTTGTTAGTCCACAACAGGATAACCTGAAACTAAACTAGAATAAACAAGTAATTTTAGTAGATTATTTCAGATTCACCTTGGAATCATCATCTTCATCTTCTTCCTCTTCCTCCTCCTTGCGCTTGGTTTTGTTCTTCTTCTCTTTCTTAGGCCCAAGTTTTTTCTTTTTCTTTTTGCCAGGAGTATAGTCACTTCCCTCACTGTCTGAGCGTAACAGCACCTCCTCTTCCTCCTCCACAAATTCATTTCCCTCACCAGAACTATCTCCAAGCTGGAATGGAGGCAGGCATTAAGGTAAAGCGAGCACCAAACTCTTGTTCTTTCACCAAGAACATCTGACCTTCTACTATCAACATGCAATCCCATCTGTTCAGAAAAAAAAGCTTTTCTCTCTTCAACCCTTCCCATCACCACACATGCAAGGAGGACTTATTCTATTTTCTTACCTCTTTTTTCTGACGCTTACTGAGCTTGGGCATCTTAGGTTCTTTCAGCTTCTTGGGCTTTTTCTTTTTCTTGATTTTTGGCATCTCTGCCTCAGATAACAGTTCTTCCTCTGGCTCTTCTTCAGGCTCTGAGAGAAGTTATAAACCCAGCAAGAGATAACTCATTTTCTAAAACTCAGATGTTATATCATACTTTCTTCCTAGATTACATCCCATCTGTACTTACCTGAAGCTGCCTCCCCATTCTTTCAAACCAGAATGTAGGCAGCAACTTCTCTAATTTTTAAACTCTGGTCTTTTCTAAACTCCTTCTAGTTTGAGTTTCTCTCCACTATCTAATACTAATAATATATTCCATAAATGAAAGTTTCATATGCAGTATTTTGCTGCGGCATTCAAAGAACTATAGACTAAAGTATTAATTCAACATAGGCATTGAGATTTTAAAAAAAACAGGACAGTTGTGATCACCTGTTAAAAATCACATATAAGCTTTCATTAAAAGAAATCAGAAACAATTTCTATACTCATTTTTCCTAAGCAAAACTGGGGTAATGGAACATGATGCTATCTTCCTATAAATCTGTTTCCAAATCTTGAATAAAAAATGATTAAAGGAAGACTCTTCACTCCAGGGAATTAACCCCACTGAAGTCTTAAGAGAAGAAAAATCCCACCTGCTTCAAAATCCTTTTCCTCCCTGGAATTATGTATTTGTTCTTCAGTAGTCCTACAGCTAAGAATTGCTCACACACACAATCACACTTTAGAAAGCTGACTTCAAAACCACTGTGATATAGTCAACTGGCTTTCTGCATCTATCTTCTATTTTCTTTTATATGGAATAATATTTTTTTAGTCTAAGTACCACAACAGCATAGAAAATAGCAATAGTCCTTAATACACAAGAAAAAAAATCATATGAAGCAGCTACTGAATTATAATCTTTCTCGCCTCTACTTGCTCTGAAACCTTTACCCTTATAGCAAACTTGATAGGAAACTGCCTGAACTCCTCCATCCTACCTAGCACTTACTGTTCAGGTATCCAAGTTCAGCAAGTGTCAGAAAAGAAGAAACAAACTCCATTTCAACCATCAGGTGTTTACTCAGATACCAGTACTTTTCCAGTTCACAGTCACATCTTCTCTATACAATGCAAGCTGCAACTCATTCCTTCTTCCTATCCCCCTTTTTCATGCACACACAAATTTAACACATCATTCCTCATTCCAAAAGACCATAATCCCATCTATTCTTCCAATCCCCCACTCCCCAAAGCCCAGAGGGGCACAGTCAGTAACCAGCTTCCTTTGTGACAGGATCCACAGTAACCCAGCCATTCTTCTTCCCCTCCCCCTTCATCAGCCACCCCCGCCCATTACACGCAGCTAGAGTCACTAGTTCTCCCTCCAAGGAAAATGGCCTCCTAACCACAGGCACCGGGCAGGATGAGGGAAGCCACAGGTCACAGCAGTTGCTGCAACCGAAGGACAAGAAGCAGAGGGAAACTGTTCTGGGTGGAGTCCCGTATTCCCAAACCAGAAAATATATCCTGTGCCAGAAATATTTTTTCTTACATCTCTTCCTCGCAATCCTTCTTACTATAAACATTTCTTAACTTAAACTAAGCCCAAGTTCTGTGGACCCAAGTGTTCTTTCCACCCCTTTTCCTAGGCAATCTAACATCCACCAAGAGTAATCTAAAGATACCAAAGTACTATTTTCCTTTTCAGCTGATTAACACAAAATAACATTAAATATACTCTTTTATTTTCCACAACCTTCTTGAATTTTGGGAGAGAGAAAAGGAAAGCTGATCCTATTAGGGTAAAAAGATGAGGTAATATCCAATTGGTTCAACTACTATAGGCACTTACAAAAGCAATGACTCCATCACTCTAAAAAAAAAAAAAAAAAACGGTAACCTCCAGAAAATAACTTATCTCAAAAAACAATTCTTCTGAAAAATGATTAAAGTGTGACCAAAACACATTGCTCATGCCTTTCACTGCATTGTGCTAGCCATATTCAATCCAAAGAACAGGACTAAGGTAAGCAGTTGTAAACTATGCTAGGTGTGGCTGGGAACAAAAGTGGGTCACACAATTACCCAAAGCATAGATCACTTTGGATACAGAAATACTGAACTTTCAAGTGGGCAACAGAAAGCAAGCCAGGCACTGCTCCCTTAGATTCATTCTTCAAGGTTGCCTGAAATGTTTGTTTTGCCAGGAATCATCATCTCCCTTAATACACACACAAGGTTTCTTTCTTCCCTTTACACACCGACAAATGAAATGAACCGTGCATGTTTTAGAAAACATGCACGGGAGACACTTTCTGTAATACACATGTGGACTAATAAACATAACTTTCTTGTGAAAATTTTCCCATCCACACATATATTTTTAAAAATGACAAACTACTAATTCAGAATATCTGAGATCAACAATATGCTCTTCCCAAACACAGCAGGAGACACCTTCTGCAGGAAGCAATGGATACAGAAGCAAGGAAGACATACAAAATATTAGCAGTAGCTGTAACCAGAGTTTCATCTGTAATCCAAGTAGAAGTTTGGTGTCACTGTTATACTTCAGGCAAACCCTCAAATTTTTACCTTCTATGTTTTGTTCAATCGCTGATACTACACAGTATCAAAGATCAGATAATGGGTAGCTTATTACTTCCATGTCAACCCCATAATAAACCTGCGTTAATGGTGTTTCAGATCCATTAAAAAAGGATGAATTTGTCGCCACTTCTGGTTCAAATAGGCAATAGATATATTGTTTTAAACCTTGCCTTTAAAAAAAATCTACCACAGCATGCCTGTGTACCTTGATGTTGATGAATACTGTTGTTCAACAGGATCTCCATCTCCTCCTCGTCACTGCCAGCAGAGCAGGGCGATGGGGATCCTATGCCCGACGCCATGTCCTCTGATTAAGAGGACAGTTCTGGGATTCAAGCAGCTTGTGCTATCTTGGCACTTTCGTATTAATAATGGCAGTAACGTGCTACATGAAGAGAGAAGAGCAAGCAATAAGACTTAAAGTCACAAAGTCACAGCATCTTTATAATAAGTTATCAGACAACCCAAATGGTCTGATTCCATACGATATCAAGAAAAAGGCAGCACCAGGGAGGGCCAAAAAAGCTGACAACTTGGCCCAAGCACCTATCTAAAATGGTCCTGAGGGCAATGCTAAATTAATTCAAGGCAATTATTCCATTCTAAGTAGATTAACAGGAACTTCGACTCTGGGTTTTCCAGTTCTCTTCGGATGGAGCCTGTGGGCAGGAAGGCAAATGTCTGAAATAACCTAGCCATACTTTCTAAAATATAAAACTGTCTGAGGGCTTCCTTCTTGCTAGCTAAAAAAAAAGGAAAACCCCTTAAGATTTACATTTTAGTGGTGACCTGCAGGTCCAGTTGCAGGGGAAATATACTAAGAGATCGTTTTAAAGAAAATAGCAAACAAAAGGCACAGTCAGCTCAAAGGAAAGCAGGCAAACTTGCTTCCCCCTGGGAAATGGGGGTGGGCACGAAGGCAGAAATCAAGCGGGGTAAGGGGGGCGGACGGAGGGAGGGAGGCGGGGACGGGAATCAAGGCCAGGTCTGGGAGATGGGGAGGAAAGGCCGCTTTCCCTGCTCGGGACGCGGAGGGAGAAGGGCACCCGGGGAGCAGCGGCGCCCCGAGGCGCCCTCCGGACACGTGCGCCGGCTAGGGGTCGCGCGGGAGGCGGCGCGGGCCCCCCACCCCCAGGCTGCT